TTAAGGTAACGACCCAAGAGGGGAGGGGATGTGGACCTGGGCTCGAGGGGAAGCAAAGAGAAGATTCTAAATTCAAATGATACTAGGGGAGAGGACTTCTGGCATGACCGAGTGAGGAGGTCAACAAATCCTCTCCTCAAAAAGCAGCTATAACCCCGGACATTCAGAGGCAGCCATGTCAGGAAACGGATTTAGTTCCAGCGAGAAGAGCTGGAGTCTGCGGCCTCTGCGTCCAGGGTATCTCTTGCTCCCCCTGCCCCCAAGGTCTTCCAGCAGCCAGTGGGACTGGGGAAGGGTAGACAGGCCACAAAAGCCCGTGTGACTTGGAGCACCGTCAGCCTCTCAGTGGCGAGGAAACAGGGAGAGCCAGCGGCTCCTTCAGCCCCAGCAAGCCACCAGTCACCTTGCCAGGGATTTAATAAGGAGGTGGAGAGGTAAGACAACCACAGGGGGCTTAATAAACTCTCCACAGAGCCTTGCTTGCCCTGAAGCCGAGCACATGCTCAGCAGAGACAGTCTGCTATTGGGTGAAGGCCAGCCATAGGGATAGATCAATGGAGCAGACTGAGTCCAGGAACAAAACCTAACCCTTATGGTCAATGGGTTTTCACCAAGGGAGCCCAGACAGTTCAGTGGGGAAAGGATAATCTAATCAGCAAACAATGCCACAATTGGATATCCACATGCAAAAGAATAAAGTTGGACCCCTATCTCATGCCATATACGGATTAATTCAAAATGGAGCAGCAAAGACCTAAACATACAAGCTAAAACTGCAGCACCTTTAGAAGACATAGGAAAAAAATCTCCATGACTTTGACTGTTCTTAAACACCAAAGCATGATTCATAAAAAACCTGATAAACTGACCTTTATAAAGAAATAAATATTCAACAAACAACACTATTAAGAAAAGGAAAAGACAGCCATAGACTGGGAGAAGATATTTTCAAAATCATATACCTGATAAAGGACTTGCACCCAGATTATATAAAGAACTTGTAAAAGCAAAAAACCCAATTTTTTTTACAAGGCAAAAAATCTGAACAGACTTCACCAAAGAATATAAAATAAGAATATAAAAAGATGTTCAACATCACTTCTCATTAGGGAAATACAAATGAAAAAACGGGGGCACCTGGGTGGCTCAGTCGGTTAAGCGTCTGCCTTCGGGCCCAGGTCATGACCCCGGGATCCTGGGACTGAGTCTCGCATTGGGCTCCCTGTTCAATGCGGAGCCTGCTTCTCTCTCTCCTCCTTGCTTGTGCACCCAACGCTCTCTCTCTCAAATAAATAAATAAAATCTTTAAAACAAAATGAAAAAATGATGAGATACCCCTACCTACCTATTAGAATGTCCCAAATCCAAAAGAGCTGACAATTCCAATTGCTGATGAGGACATGAAGCAACAGGAACTCTCATTCATTGTTCATGGGAAAGCAAGATGGTGCAGCCTCTTTAGCAGACAGCTGGGCAGTTTATCACCAAGTTAAACACCGACTTACCATATGACCCAGCAATCATACACACAGTTCCAAGCGAACTGAAAACTTATGTCCACACAAAAACCTGTAAGTGCTTATAAATGTTTATAGCAGCTTTATACATAAGCGTCAAAAACTGGATGCAACCAGGATGTCCTTCAACAGGTAAACAGCTAACAAAAAGTGCTCCATCCAGACAAAGGAATATTATTCAGTGCTAGAAAGAAATACACTATCAAGCCATGAAAAGACACGGAGGAACCTTCAATGCATACTGCTAAGTGAAAGAAGTTCATCTGCAAAGGCTACACGCTGCATGACTCTAATTATAGGACATTAAGGAAAAGGCAAAGCTATGCAGAAGGTAAACAGATTAGTGGTTACACTAATAGAAAACAGATTAGGGTTGAGGAAGGGAGAGTGGCTGAGTACGAGGCGGATGGACAGAAGAACGTTTATGGTGACAGGACAGTTCTGTATGGTACTTGGGTGGTGGACACGTGACCAAATGCATTTGTAAAAACCCACACAATTGTACATCACAAAGAATGAACTTTAATGTATGTAAGCAAAAGAATGAAACAAAACATCGACTAGCTGGGCGGGCGATCCCAGGATGGGATGCAGGCTGTGACAACTGAATCTAACTGCCTGAGAAACGGAGGAGGAGGGAGAGAGGAGCCGACCCAAGTAACCTTAAAAAAGGCTATTTTGACTAGAAACTGTAAGGGAAAGACCAAAGGATTTAAATATAAACCCTGTACTGTCGATGGTAAAGTTGTTCTCCTCAGAGAGGTATGAGCGGATACCAAAATTGAGCAAGCACGCAAATCGTTGACGAATGGTAGGTTTCTCCCCGGCAGAGAGGGAAGTTACAGAGAAGCAAGAAAGGAAGGCCACAAGAAAGCTTTGGGCACTGGATCATAGTTGGAGAATAGGTATGAACTCATGTTTAGGTCAATATAAATGTTGATGAATAGAGAAATAATCATAGCTGCATGTGTCTACACGGTTTAGGAGATAACCACATACTTCTTGCCTACTCCTGCCCACTTAAAGGGTACAGAAGTAGCGACATCCCACTAAGTGACGAACACACTCAAGACTCAGGTCTTTGCTTCTAAAATCAATCACTTCCAGTGAGGAAGAGAATGATATACTGAATAGGACACCCAAGGAAACCTTCCCAGCAGGCAACAGCGTTTAGGAAGAAGGGAATGAGACCAAGAAAGTGGGAGAGTGCCAGGAGGAGGCGGGAGAAAAGAATGTGAAGCAGCAGATGGTCATCGAAGTCAAATACTGCAGAGGACACCCGGGACAGAGAGCTGTGACCATCAAGGTCACTGGGGACCAAAGAGCAACTCAGGAGTGGGAGTTGAGGCTTGCATACACTAAGGTGTAGACCCAGAGGAGACAATGAGGAGTGGAAACTGGCCTCAGGTTTCTCAGTGGGTGAAAGTGCCAGGGAACGGAGGCGGCTGGCAGGACCTGTTGACAAGAGACTGCCCCTGTCACCCACAAGCAAAATACGGGGCGCTCCTGCAAGACCGACAGAAATATTTTCTTGAGAAAAAAAACCTATATAACAGATAACATATTATTTCAAAAACAAGCCCCAAAACTACAGTTGAGTCTAGTGTATGTGCCTAAGACCCAAAGTTGGAAAATGCGTTAATTAGGATCGTTTTTTATGCTGATGATTATCACGTATTGAAATAGGATGTTTTATCTTCACTCGTGGCATTAGCATGTCCGCATAGAGGAGAATGTCTGAGAATTTCATCGTGTGCTCATCATGACCACGTGGGACCAGGCTCACACTTGTATTTTTTGCTGGGACCCCCTTTATTTTCTTTTAATGATGCTTATAACGACAGAGGGTATAACTTAAGCTAACAATGGATTATTCTTCAGACGAGAAGTTTAAATATGAGCCTAATTAAAGAATTTTCCAACACTTCTTCCTTGCTAAAACATGTACTGGTAATAAGCCCCCAGCGTGCCATTCAGGCTTCCATCCGAGCGCGCGCTCCCACTTGCTACCGCTGCCCGCATCTCACCATCTGGAAATACCATTTGTCACCCAGGTGTAATTGGCCAATTTGCTGGGTTTGCCCTTTAAATGTTCCATGTTCTCCTGACACCTGTGAGTTTCGTTTAGTGGCTTTTAGAACTTTTTACCCAAGATGACATTGTCTGGAAAGGTGTTCTGAAGGACAGATGTGACTACGGTATCCTTTAATCGGAAGAGAACACTGTTCCACAGGAAATGTACACGGTCCCTGCAAGAAGGGGGCAAACGCTAACGCCACAACCAGACACACTCCTAACTCATTCACGCAGGACATGCTAAGTCACAACCTGCCCCCACAACAGGCTGAGATCACGCCAGTCACAACCGTAACAACTTCGCATCCTAACTACAAGTTACAACCACAACATACCATCAAAACAGGCAACCACCGCAAGTAACAATCACAGGTTCCAATCATAGCTTATTTTGCCACATCAAATCCGGCTGATCCTCTCCATAGTAGGATCAGATCTTGATGTGTATTAGGATAAAAGGTTTAAATCTTTGGTGGTTTTGGAGGGAGGGGGAGGGCATGACTAAGAAGGGCTAGCACGAGGGGGTTTCCTTGTGGTGATGGAACAGTTCTGTATTCGGCATCCTGGTTGGTCGCGGTCACTGAAATCTACACACACGACGAAATTTCATAGACCCACAGTGTGCGCATGCACACATGAGTACATGCAAAAGCTGATGCAATCTAAATCGGGTCTGTATGCGACTTAATCACAGTCTGTACCAATGCCCGCTTCCTCTGACAACGTACTCCGGTTATTTGTAAGGTCAGTGGCGACCTTCAGGGGACCCTGGGTGAACAGTACACAGAAATTCTCCTGAATAATTTTTATAACTTCTTGTGAGTTTTAAACTAATTTTATTTTATTCTATCCCTAACGTGGGACTCGAACTCACAACCCTGAGGATAATCTCCTTTTTGATCCAGACAATTAAGAGTTGCACGCTCTATGGACTGAGCCAGCCAGGCACCCTGAGTTTTAAACTATTTTAAACTAAAAAGATATTTTAAAAGATGTCAGACTTGCTATGGGTCTCCTAAAAAAAATGCTTGTCATGATGAGCCTTGCTCTTCCCACCCCAAGGGTGACAGGATCCCCAGGTTGGGGGCAGGAGTGGTCCCCAGTCACTGCTGCCGCCTGGGCAAGCGGCTCTGGCTCGGGATGGAGATATTAGCCATGCTGCACTTTGCCTTGGGGACACCAGGGGGAACGTGTGGCTTCTCCAAATTGGCTTATAAAGCCCTCCCCCTTTGAGCTGCACAGCCCACATGATTCCAAGTGAGCCCTCCAAGTTGTAAGCAGGATGTCTAAAAACGACCTCTTATATCCCAGAGGCTGAGTAAGAACAGCTCAATTAATCTGGTCGCCATGTAATCACATTTGTAATGAGATGAAGGTGTTTAGACAAATCAGTGCTCCTAATTTTACCTTTGTCAGGTTTGTATTCACCACCGCCTAAAATGTCTTCAAGATCCTTGTCTGAAAAACCTGGAGAAAACCAAATATACGTGTCAACACCACAACACATTTTTCAGGGACAAAAATCTTGTGTTAGTGTTGCCCAACATCCCCAGAGACTGACTGCCAGTTAAGAATGTCCCTGATGAATATGATAGGCAAAATTCTAACAGGGCACTAAGATTCCCTCCCACTAGAGGACACACCTTGCATAATCTCCCATCACTTGGAGCGTGAGTGGGACCATGAACAAGGTGGCCATCCCCGCTGCCATTAGGTTATATTAGCCGCCAAAGGTAAAGAGATGTTGCGGATGTAATTAAGGTCCCAAATCAGTTTGGCTTCGCCTGAATCAGAAAGGAGATTATCCTCAGGGGGCCTGACTCAAGCAGGCAAACAGGGTGAGGCCTTCCTGAGCTCAGACACTAGAAGCAACAGAGTTAGTCTTCCTCTCCCAGCTCTCCCAGCTCTGTCTTTCTCCATCAGTTCTACGACTGCAAGGAAAGGTACTCCGCCAACCACCACACGAACTTGAAGGAGAACCCAAGCTCAGAGGAGACCAGGCCGGGCCGACATCGTGATGGCAGCTCGGGAGGCCCTGGACTTTAGAAAACTCGGCTTACTGTTCCTGAACTCCTCACTCACCAAAGGAAACGGAGTTCATAAATGGGTGCTACCTTAACTCGCGAAGCTTGTGATCATTTGTTATGAGGCAATAGAAAAGTAATACAAGGAAACAGAAAAAAATGGATTCTGGCTTAACCGCTGAGTACACGACTTTAATGTTGTGTGTGAGGAAATGGAAAGTAGGCTGAAAGTATTTCTGCCACGTTTTTTGAGTCAACCGTACTACTTTGCAGTGCACTTGAGCGACTATTTCGGTTCAGAGTTTATCAGCGGCTCCGTGCCACAGAAGACCACTTTTCCTAGAGAGAATCAGTGATGGTCAAACTAGGGTTATGGCAGCTTGAATATTTGGCAGATGTTTTCTTGAAAATGAAATGAAATGACGCTGTCCCTTCAAAGAAAACCACTGGCAAGATCTGTTGCCAATGGTAAGATTTCAAACAAAACTTAGAATTTTGAAAAATCTGTATCTACTACTGTGAGCTTAGCAGCCTCCCAATACTAAAGACTGGATCTAAGGAGCTGGGAGTGACATTAACAAATGTGAGTTTGGGGTACTGCATAATGAAACATGGCATTATTTGGAAGTTCAAAAGACCTCAGGACACCAGTATTTCCAAATGACCAACACACAATATATAAAACCACGAATGGGTAAAAATTCCATTGAAAGTCCAAGCAAGTCCTCGAGGGTTTAATGGAATCGAGTATGAGAAGTTCACTGATACGGTGTCACATTCCACACTACACTGAAACGGTAAGAAACCGCCACCTGAGTCTGGGGGTCTTAACAAAGAAGAATATCTACAACAATGACCTAAAAAGTCAATTAAAATATTCCTCCCTTTTTCAACTGCATATGTATATGAGGCCAGATTTCCTTCATACACTTCATTACAAGTGAATCCGGAAACAGAGTGAGTCTAGCTCTTCTGCTGAGACGTTACAGAAATGTGCAAAAAATGTACACAGAAACAAAAGCCTTTGAAATCCTCGAGGATTTTGGGAGTCCAGAGACCAAAACATTTGTGAACTACTATTTAGGGTTCTCCTATGCCTTGGCTCTGCTGGGCCCCAGGGGGCTCTGCAGGCCACTGTAGTGAAGGAGCGACAACCCGGCCAGGCAGCTGCCATGCTGGCCGGTGCTTCCAGCCAGCTCTGACTTACCTCCTCCTCCTCCTGCGCTCGGTTTCCTGCGGCCGTCATCTCGATCATTTCGGTCATCCAGGGCATCAGCCAGGTTAAAATCATCATCTTCAGTGGGCCGCAAAACATACAAGAGAAAGTCAACTGGTTAAAGCACAGGGAGCTCTTTGGACATCTGCCCCAAAGAGAGCTCTACGGTACCCTTCTTTACTGCCCCCTCCTCAGTGGCAGCATTACCTGCAGGCTTTGCTGGAGCTCTGGTTGTTCCTGGCCTCTTAGTTGTGGTGGTGCCATGGTTCCATCTCGCTAAAATGGGGAAGGGGGACAGCATGGGAACACATTTAGTAACAAAATACAGCAGCCACTTCATGGCTCAGGGACGTTACATCATGAGTATGCTGCACTTGTCTTAGTCCTTGAGGCCCCTCTAAGGCCTCTGACAACCCCTTTGAGGATGACAAAGAAATGCAGAAGCTTTAAATGAGATGAGTTCCATTCACTTTTCTTCAGAGGACTGGTGGAAAGGCAGACATGGTCCCACAAATAACCTGAAGATTAATGGAGCGAGGTGTTCAGCCTAGATCTGCTGGACAGGACCCCATGGTCCAGGGGGTTCCAGAGCTTGAGCACGACCCTTGGGAGCTTCAGGCCTTGGTTTCCACCCGTATCAACCTGGCACCATAACCATAAATAATACTGCGCAGGGATGGACTGAGGTTATGTTCCCAGTAGAGTATGGGAATGTCTTATTATAAACTGAAAGTAGTATAATACCAACAAAATATTTTATATAAGCATGGTTGTTACTCCTGTAACTATTAGGTTTTTCAGCTCAACCAGACTCCTCTAAAAATACAGACTTCTTTCACTCTTATCACATAGCATACTATGTATCAGTTTTCTAATAGTTTCTTTCCTTAGACATCAAGACTTTGGTGTAACTGTTCCTACTATTAGAAATTGGTTGAAAGTAAAAAGATGGGTAAAAGTATATGATACAAATAGCAACTGTGGGAGGGCTGGAGTAGCTATATTACTATCAGATAAAACACACATTAAGACAAACACTGTTACAAGAGTCAAAGAATGACATTTTGTAATCATAAAAGGATAAATCCAGCAGGAAGATAACATTTTAAACATACATGCACCCAACAATCAAGCCCCAACATACAAGAAGAAAAAAAAAGGCAAAAACTGAAGAATAGGCAATTTGACAATAATAGTTGTAGATTTCAATACCATCCTTTCAATCACAGATGGAAAAGCTTGATAGAAAATCGAAAGGAAGATTTGAACCAACGGGTCGAAGAAGAAATCACAGGGCAAATTATTAAATACCTTGAGATGAATGAAAAAGAAAACACAACATACCAAAACTTATGTGTTATTATGAAAGCAGTGCTGGGGGCTGGGGAATTTCTAGCTGTTAACATTGACATTTAAAAAAAAAAAAAGGTCTCAAATCAATAGCCTAATCTTTCACATTAAAATATTAGATAGGGTTGCCTGGGTGGCTCAGTCAGTTAAGGGTCCAACTCTTATTTCAGCTCAGGTCATGATCTCAGGGTCAGGAGATTGAGCCCCACATCGGGCACCATGCTCAGCAGCGAATCTGCTTGAGATTCTCTCTCCCCTTCTCCCTCTGCCCTTCCCCCCACTCTCTCAAATAAATGAATAAATAAAATCTTAAAAAAAAAAGAAATGAAAGAGGAAACCAAACCTACATCAAGCAGGAGAAAATAAAAATTGTAGCAGAAACAATTGCAATAGAGAATATAAAAAACAGAAAAAAACAAATCCAAAAATCGGATTCTTTCAACAAAATTGATGAACTGTTACATGACCCAAGACAAAAAGAAAGAAGACCCAAATTACTAAATTCAGGAATGAAGGAGAGACATTACCACCAACTGTACAGAAATAAAAAGAATTAAGGAACACTATGAACAATTATATTACAATAAATTAGATAACCTAGATGAAATGGACAAATTCCTGTACAGAAACCACCAAAACTGACTCAAGAAGAAACAGAAAATCTGACTAGACCTACAAGTAAAGAGAGTGAATCAGGGATTTAACAACTTCCCACAAAGAAAATCCCAGGACCAGAAGTCCTCATTGATGATTTCTACCAAATATTTAAAGAAAAATCAAAGTCATTAAGGAGGGCACGTGACGTGATGAGCACTGGGTGTTATACTGAACTGATGAATCATTGAACATTATATCAAAAACGAATGATGTACTATACCTTGGCTAACTGAATTTAAATTAAAAAAAAATAAAGAAAAATCAAAGTCAATTCTTCTTAAACTCCTCAAAAAGTAGAGGGAATACTTCCTAACTAATTCTATGAAGCCAGTAGTACTTTACACCAAAGCCACCACAAGATAACTAGATAACAAATCTACCACAGACCTCTAACCCTTATGGGTACAAATGCAAAATCCTCAACAAAATACTAGCAAACCAAATCCAGCCACATATTAGGATTATAAAACATGGCCAAGTAAGGATTTATTCCAGGAATGCAAGGGTAGCTCAATATAAGAAAAATCAAGCACTGTGATATCCAAAACTAATAGAACAAAGGGAAATAAAACACTTGATCATCTCAATGGATGCAGAAAGACATCTGACAAAAGCCAAAACCATTTCATGCTAAAAAAAATACTTTTTATCTAGGAATAGAAGGGAATTTCCTCAACCTGACAAAGGGCATCTATGAAAAATCCACAGTAAACATCGTATTTAAGGATGAAAGACTGAAAGCTTTTCTCCTAAGATCATCAACAAGACAAAGGACGTGTACTCTCACCACTTCTATTAAATATTGTACAGGGCAATTAGGCAAGAAAAAAAGTCATCTAGACTGTGAAGAAAGAAGTAAAACGATCTCTAGTCAAAGATGACACAACCTTACATATAGAAAACCTTAACAATCCAGACCTACCCCCCACCAAAAAAAAAACTGTCTTAGAGATAGTAAGTCCAGCAAAGCTGCAGGATACAAGATCAATATACAAAAATTGTATTTCTATATATTAGCAATGATCTGAAAAGGAAAATAAAGTGATTCCATTATAATACCATCAAAAGAATAAAATTCTTAGGAATCAACTTAACAAAGGATGTGTAAAGATTTGTACACTAAAAGCCACAAAAGTGTTGAAAGAAATAAAAGGAGTCTAAGTGGAATACCCCATTGTCACAGAAGACTCACTATGGTTAAGATGGCAATATTACCCAAATTAAGCTACAGATTCTATGCAATCTCTACCAAAATTTCAACTGCCTTTTTTTTTTTTTTTTTTTTTTTACAGAAATGGATAAACTGATCCTAAAATTCAAATGGAATTACACGGGAGCCCAAATAGCCAAAATAATAGTAAGAACAAAATTACAAGAGTCACACTACAAACCTACAGTAATCAAACCTGTGCGATACTGGCATACGAATATATATATAGACCAATGTCACAGTATTGAGCGTACAAAAAGAACCCACATATTTATGGTCAATTGATTTTCAAGAGGGTGCCAAGACCATTCAATGGGGGAAAAGAATGGTCTTTTTAATAAACGTTGCTGGGACAGCTGGATATCCACATGCAGAAGAATGAGGTTGGACCCCTTCCTCACATCATATACAAAATTACCTCAAAATAGATCAATCTGGCCACAAATTTTCAGAGATGACACCAAAAGTATGAGCAACAAAAGGATAAACTTCATCAAAATTTAAAACCTCTGTGCATCTAAGTACATTTTCAAGAAACTGAAAAGATAACCTAGGAAATGGGAGAAAATACTTGTAAATGATATCTGATGAAGGTCTAGCATTCAATATGTATAAAGACCTCCTCAGTCATCAGGAAAACACAAATAAAAACCACAATGAAGTTCTACTTCATCGCTACTAGGAAGGCTATAATCTTTTTTTAAATTGGAAAATAAAGACATAAACATAAAGCCAGAACCATAAAACCCTTAGAAGAAAACAGGAAAAAAAAAATTTGACATCAGATCTGGCAGTGATTTCTTGGATGTGATACCAAAAGTACAGGGAACAAAAGCAAAAACAGACAAGTGGGACTACATCAAACTAAAAGGCTTCTGCACAGCAAACAGTCAATAAAATGAAAAGGCAATATATGGAATGAGAGAAAATATTTGTAGATCACATATCTGATAAGGGGTTAATATCCAAACTATGTAAGGAAATCCTACAACTCTATAGCAAAACAAAAAATCATCTGGTTAGAAAATGGGCAAAGGACTTAGATACTTCCTCAAAGAAATGGCCAACAGGTATATGAAAAGATGCTCAATATAACTAATCATCAGGAAAACGTAAATGAAAATGAGGTATCACCTCACACCTGTTAAGATGAATATTATTTTTACAAAACCACAAAAGGTGACACGCTGGTAAGGTTGTGGAGAAAAGGTAACCCTTGCACACTGTTGGTGGGAATATAAAATGGTGCCGCCACTACGGAAACAGTATGGTGGTTCCAAAAAATGACAGAAACAGGACTACCACTGGATCTAGCAATCCTACTTCTAGGCTTATATCCAAAAGAAAGGTAATCAGGATCTCATATGTCTGCACGTCCATGTTCATTGCAACAGTATTCTCAATAGCTGTGAGAAAGAAATAATCTAAGTGACCACTGATGGATAAATGGCTAATGCAAATGTGCTATGTAAATAAAATGGAACATTATTCAGCCTTAAATAGAAAGAAATCCTGCTACTTGGGACAACACAGATGGACCTGGAGGATACTATGCTAAGTTAAATAAGCCAAACACAGAAGGACAAATACTGCATGATCTCACTTTTAGGAGGAATCTAAAGTAGTCAAATTCATAGAATCAGAGGATAGAATGGTGGTTACAAGGGCTGGGGGGAGAGGGAATGGGGTGGTGTTAGTCAAAGGGTACAAAGCTTCAGGAAAAAAAGGGGGAAATAAGTTGGCTAGGATGTGGAGAAACTGGAATCCTTACACACAGCTGGTGGGAACGTAAAATGGCGCAGCCACTGTGGAAAACAGTTTGGCGGTTCCTCAAAACCTCAAACGTAGAATGACCACATGACCTTGCAATTCCACTCCCAGGTATATGCCCCGAAGAATTAAAAACAGGTATTCAAACAAGACTGTGTACACACATGTTCACAGCAGCAGTATTCACAACAGCCAAAAGGCGGAAACAGCCAAATGTCCGTCAACTGATGAATGAACAAACCATGTGGTCGGTCTATCCATACAATGGAATATTAGTCATAAAAAGAAT